TCTGGCCTGGTATGCACAAGGACCTCAAGGCATGGACACAGGCTTGTATCGCCTGTCAACGGAGTAAGATCCAGAGGCACAACGAGGCCCCCATGGGCACCTTCCCTGGCCCCGGTTCAAGGTTCAGCCACGTTCACCTGGATATTGTAGGCCCCCTGCCTCTGTCCAATGGTTGTTCCTATCTCCTCACCTGCGTGGATCGGTTCGCTCGGTGGCCTGAAGCTATTCCCCTGCCTGACATTGCTGCTCCAACGGTGATCAAGGCTTTTCTCAGTCGTTGGGTTGCTGTCTTTGGCGCACCCACCATAATCACGACTGACCGTGGTGCCCAGTTTGAGTCTAACCTCTTCCAGTCTTTACTCTCCTTTTTAGGCTGTACTCGCATCCGCACTACAGCCTATCATCCGGCAGCCAAGGGGATGGTCGAGCGGTTTCACCGCCAGCTGAAGGCATCCCTACGCGCCCCGGCCGATCCGGAGAACTGGACGGACCACCTTCCCCTGGTCCTCTTGGGCATCCGCTCCGCTCTCAAGCCGAACCTTGACTGTTACGCAGCTTAACTGGTGTTCGGCGCTACCGTCCGACTTCCCGGTGAGATGATCTCGCAAACCCCGCGAGGTGCAGTTGAGGATCCCACCAACCTCCTGCATCACTTCCGGCAGTTTATGCGGACACTTTCTCTGGTTCCTCCCAGGTCCTTCGCCTCTCCGTCTTATCTCGAGGACTTGGCAACGTGCTCTCATGTCTATCTCCGATGTGATCGAGTCCGCCGGCCCCTGGAACCACCCTACGACGGCGCATTCCGAGTTATATCTCGGACGAAGAACTTCCGCATCCATCGCGGAACTCGTGAGGAGGTCGTGAGCGTGGACCGTCTCAAAGCTGCCGTCCCGGACACTCCTTCGGATGAGCCCTGTAGTCCCCTACCCCCTGCTCCGCCTTCCCGACCCTCTATCCCTCCGTCCCGTATACTTCCGCTGCTCTCATGTCCGCAATCCCCAACTGCAACTACCTTTTCATCAAAAAACAACACTGTAACCGCGCGCCATACTCACTCTACCCCTGTGCCCCCTGTATATATCACCCGTAGTGGACGCCATGTTCATTTTCCTGACCGTTTGGTTACTCATGTTTTTTAGACATCGGCAATTCCTTCGGCATCGTTACGCGCCGCCTTCGGTCTAGCCGGGGGGTACTCTCTCTCTCCCTCCCTCTCTCTTTCTCTCTGACAGAAGTTTGTGGAGAAACAGAAGGCGAAAACGTAGCCATTTGTGTCCTTCTGCGCAGTTTGTTCACGGCACTGGACGTCCCCGAAGAACCATGTCTCACGCTCTCCAGCTTATACTTCTTAGTCTTTTTCAATTCGCGCATAAAATCCAGATAACTGGATCCGGAACATTTCTGTCACATCTATCTACAGCTTTTATTGACCCCCACATAAGGACTGGCTTGCAACATTCTGAATTGTTGTTGTAGTCTCGTCAAGATATACCGTCGCTGGTATTGTACGATGTGAAGCATTATTACTCATATAATAATTCTTCCATTAAACATAGCAGAATCATCATAGGTTGATCCGTCGACTGCTTGGTTTCCAGCCGCGCAACTGTCGCTAAGGTCGCAGCTGTGAACGGTCTTCATGTAAAGTGATTTTTGATGTTTTTTTCGTGCAGAGTCGTCAAGTTCTTGCCTATAGGACCTGTTCAATGATACTGCCGCAATTGTGGAGCGCCAAAGTAGAGTGATGTGTGAATATACGCCAAAGATATTAGATTATCTTATTCAAGGCCACCGTTGCGAGGGTCCTAATGACAGCGCAGGCAAGGAACGCTCGGAGGCCTCAAACAGTATTCTTCCATTTGATTTCTAGCAGTTTACAGTCAGGTGCTACCTATAAGTTACAAAGCTTTATGATCTAGAAATTGTCAATCAACTCAGGGCGGAGTCATCTTCGGAGACAGTTTCTGATGCCTAATTTCGCGTCCAAAGCACATACAGTACTCGCTTTGCAGTTTCCCGGCAGGACGGCTTTGATAGGTGCCCGCTTCATTCGATCGTTGGTTACTTTGAGATCTCGTGGAGAGATTAGTTATCCCTGAAAACATGGAGATATACAGCATACAACCTCTGTAGAACGCTAGTAACAGGTGACAGCGAGTGACCCGAGCGAATGAACGCGACACCCGGCGCCAACCCTACATCAGCAAAGTACGAGTTTCTCTCGGTATCCTGGCACTTTCACTCATTTTCCACTCAAGCCTCATGCCTTAACATTTACGCATTCAGGGCTGCGTCGCTGTTCTTCAGAGGATTTTCAGACTAGGGCAGTATCTTCGGTGAAGCCAAAGGTCAAATACGGTCTTCTATATAAAAACTATCTTGGCGACGGGGCGATTAGATCATAATCGCGTCGGTCGCATGATTTAGAGGATTGGCTTGAGCTTCGGAGTAAGGTAACCGCTGCTACTACTGCGTAACTGAATACTCGCTAAAATGCTCTGAATACAGTCGTATTCAGAGCATTCGAGTGTGTCGTCAGTCGTCGGGGCTTTCAAAAGCACTCTTACCGACCAGATGGAGCGAGTTAATGGGAAGAAAACTTTATGAAAAAGAAGTGGTAGTCCCAGAATCGGTCGTTAGGTGAGGATTTGGTGGATGCGATGTGGGACAGACCAAAAAAAGGCTTAATCGTTCTCCGTTCCTGTGCCCATGAATGAACCCAAGGGCTTTAAGACAACTCTATCGAGGGATACAAGTCAGTTACTTTGGTGCTGTGGTACTTTTATTGCAGCCCTTAGATCCGTGATTTTATATGAATGACAGCAACTCCCTATCAAATCCCAACTAGGAGAGAATTCACGGCAACCGAGAAATATTCGTATTTTATAAAAACGGTAGTGTGGCTGGTGTATTCGCACCAATCCCTGGGCTAATGGTGTAAATATATCAAAGTGATAGTGTTTTGACGCGCCTCCCTTAGAGTTGGCTGACCTCTGGGAATGGATAAGAATGTCGGAATCGTACCGCTGCCGCGTGAAACGCCCATGATAAGAGGGAAGCTAGATGATTCACTGGACAGGAAGAGGAAATCATGCGGTGCCTATTCATGTTTGATTAATGGGTCGCTGCTGGCAGACACGTGCAATATGCGCTGAGCATAGACCGTCATTTGATAACTGATCTCGATCGAATGGTCAGCACACTTTCCGACATCCATACTTTTCTCTCAGTAAAAGGGAGGCATTTGGGAGGATGCCTACGCGCCGTGGACACACTTGGCGAGACGGATACGACAAAAACAATCCCAGCCACTCAACTCTTAAGTTTTTTAGAGGGCACTTGAACGACACTCAAATTTTATCAAGGCGCTGCACATTTGTAGACGTAGTAGAAAATAGCAGACAAAACGGTAGCGTAAATCCGCCTCAGTAGACCTTCAGAAGTGAATTTAGCGAAACGCGCACTCCCCACGTGACTAATTACCTCGTCCAGGCAGTCTACGGTTGGATATGGGGGTGCGGATCACTGCGCCTGTTGGTCGACTGCGAGTCGGATAGCCATGACACACGTAGTCCCCGGCTCAAGCGGTTGTCACCCCTCCATAGAAGTTCGACCTCCTGGAACTCGAAGATGTGGCCGTAACCTGAACTTTGACAACACTCACCCTTAAATATGCCTCCACCGTCAATGGTGAGGCAAATAGCAGAACGAATAACTCCACCCCTGGCAAATAATGATCACGATGTTCCGATAGCTTGAACAGAAAAATTTTATTCACATGACGTTACGGATTCGCACTTGAACCCACCATTAGGGACAGCAGCATATAACAGCGGACGCACACGGAATGCAGTATTTGTGCAACTATATAACAGCATAGACGTACAAAGCGAGGACGTCCACCATGTTGCTCATGGAATTAGTGCAGCACTGGTGACTTGCACGTGATTTAGTTTGTAGTGAGGTGGACTTGCGCAGCATTCCGGTCACGAATCCTCCTTGTTAGGGGCCTTCAAGCCCAATGAACTGCAACACGACCGACCGGCCTCTCGACCCACATACTCTTACCGTCACAATTAGTAACACCAACGATACTGCTCCTACTGACTTGCAAATCACACCACTTCCTACAACCAGCAATACGGACGCAGTTCCAACTTTTTCTCACTGCGACCGCGCCTTACCACCACGTACCCACCTGGTCGGTTACTTGCGGACCCAACGCACCGAGGGGTGGCTACCTTCGGCCTATTTGTCATCAGCAGGCCATGCCAAACGCCCAATCTTGATGACTTGGGACTTGAGCACAGACCCTTTGTTCATTGGGCGTTTCCAAGTTCAACGCTCTACCAGTGAGTCACGGGGCCCTTTTCCTGTTGGTTGAGGTCGGAAAGACTATGGTGGAAATGCATTTACCGACTAGGCATGGGACGTAGTCTCGTCACGGATTGGAGCCCAGTCCAGTGACCTCGTCAGCAATCGAATAGCGGGCAGTAACTTGTGCACTGTGGTGTATCCACAAAGAAGGGAGACCAATGTGGTCACTTCCAACTAACTAGAGGTCGCCAGTCAGTCAAACCCAACACTAGGTCTGGATGGACCGGGATCCAGGACTCCTCTTGCAGGCATGAATCCGTGCCTCTTCGTGGTCGAGCCATAAACAGCATTCCCGTGCCCTCGTTGCGCATGAGCTTCCCTAGCCACATCTACAAGCACCCATATGTCCTGCGGATTCTGAAATTAGTACCGTGAACCCGCTAACATGGTTGGGACCAAAAGCGTCGACCGTCTGAGATAATTATACCAGCCTCGTCTTCGAATAACTGATGCATCGTAATGGTCCAAAGTACTGGATGGAGGTCAGCTAAGGAAGTATGTAGAGGGTCGCATGTAACTGGGTCTGCTGCCGCCCGCTTTGAGCGAAGTAAACTGGTTGAGAAGTATAAAATGAGCAAGACGGGTGAGTCACAGATTCCCAGATCGCCATCAGTCGTGTGGGCGCAAACTCGTTAATGCTACCTGCCCGAGTAGAAAAGGCACGTTCCGGCCCTGTAATAGGACTAAGAACTTGATCTTTGTGTCGACGCCTGTCCACGGTTATCTAGCAATCTCCCTGCAGCCCGCTTGGGAACATCGCCAGTTAAGACACGAAAAGGCAACCCTCCCTAAGCGAGTTGTTTACCTGAAACGTCGTCCCACCTCCGGCGGCCTCCGTTGACCAAGCATTATATCACAGTAGGTCGAAGGCCTTACTCAGCTGCTCACAAATGAGCTCGGGCCGAGATGAATCGTCGTCGGCGCTGACCGTAGAGCAGTATCCAGGTAGCCAAAACCGTTTAACGCAGACTAGGCTTTTTGTAGGTTTTGTGCTAAACACCCAACTGACCACCGTGTTGGCAGCGCGTAGTCAACCCGCCCGATAAGTTAGTGGAAATGCTAGAGCGCATAGGGGGCAGTCGTGACCACACGCTCGAGGCATAACTCCATCTGCTATAACGGACCATGGTTCGGTCCGGTCTGACCGCTAACGCCCCCCAGGTTGTCCAACTTTCCGGCCTGTCAACAAACCTTACAGGAGGCTGCACGTCGCAGAGGCGATGGAAAAAGTGGAACCCGAACGACGGTATTATCCTTCATAACCCAACCTACTGTTAGCAGTAAACGGTAGCAAGGGCGGACGATGCCTGCCCATATCTACCCTGCATGACAAGGGAGCACTAATTATCACGTAATGCGTGTTATTAGGGTATCGGGGCTCACCACTGACCGGCTTCTTACCACGCGCGTCGTGTGAGCTTCTGTGGGGACCAGACGCTCGAAGCGGCTCGCGCAGAATACTCGGGCCACGACATTCGCGAGGCTTAAGACTGGATCCGAGGACACCGTAACAGCACTTTAGGCGGAGACCAGTCGTACGGGCGTAACGCAGGCATCCACGCCGGACTGGATTAGATGTTGGAAAGGATTTAGCGTCTAGGTAGGATACCGAAAGATCCCTCTGAGATAAGTGCTATAACAGAACGAACGTACAGGCTGTTAAAGGGCTGAAGTAGCTAACCGACTAGTGTTGGCCGCCGCAACCGGCCTGCAGAACCCACATAGAGATTAGCTCGGTTCGGGTTCTCAACCGAACCGGGAAGAAAATCGGTTGGCTTGACCGACAACCTCGCTGTAGTGCGAGGATAGGTGCTGCCGCTAATGTTGTTTGGGTCACCAACGTATCGTGGTCAAAAGCAGCAGCAGCAGAAGCCTACACAAGCAGAGGCTACAAAGAGGCAACAGCTCTGATGCAGGTGAATCATCCACAGAAAGCCAGACACTACGAGGTCATTGCGCCCTAGACTGTCAGCCACAAAATCCCCTCAGAAAAAGGGGTCAGCTTCGGCCAAAATTTATTTATATGCATCATGGACATTCTGATGAAAAAGAACCAGCATGCACGCTAGCAACCAACCTTGGCATACCTCACATCTTCCTTAGGCGGACGTGAAGTATGTCCTGTGGCAGTCTTACTCCAGAATTTCATGAGCTCCCTGAAGGAAAAACTCCAGATTGAGTGCCGATCGTCCTACCTCCAAGGACATACCTCCGTGGTGTGCGTAAGACTATCCTCCTAAATGGCCAGGTGTACGAGTCCACTCCGATCCATCAGTTAACTGTTAACAGGATAATTTGCTGAATCCACAATTGCCTCGCTCACATTCACAATCCACCCGGAGAAATGAAGTCCCGGGAACTGGGCAGTCCAGGGCCAGACCATGGACATGGGCGAGAAAACAAAGCAGCCGTCCGGTCGTGCTGATCATCCTTATTCAAGATGTGCCATGTGACTACTTATCCTTCCTGATTCTGAAATCCAGAGCTTAATCCTAAGCGCCTGCTCCACATCCAGACTTCAAACGGACCGAGCTCCAATAATTCAAAGCAATCCGCAGAAATCCATACGCGCAATCCGATGCCTATTTACCTCGCGTCACAAGGGTCTTGCTGTCAAATGACCTAGGTATCCGGAGGCCGAACTCTTATCCAGTCTTGACGAATCCAACAACTCCTCAGGTCCAAGATTGAACCTTCAAAAGAGAACAACGAGCATTAATGGTGTGAATATTTACTGCGTGGAAGGTTAAAAGAGGAACCACACATGCACCAACATTACTTGAATGTCAGAATGACAAAGGTTAACGTCGCGGGCTGATAGACCTCGAGGGTGAACGACTACCCGAATACCTGTCGCGAGGAGAGCCGTACGAACGGGAACGTGAACGGGAGCGCGAATAATTCTGTCGCTCTTCACGCACACGTATGTAAGACGTCTCACCCTTAAGAGGAGATAAATAACAAGACCATCTTACCTCGTGAGAGCGAAACTTCGAATCGTCTAGTTTTTTGAGGGCATACTTCATGTCCTCGTAGCGTAAGAACTCCACAACACCAGACCCATCCTTGAAGACGTCCGCAAAACCTACATCACCAGCCTCGCGCATGTGGTCCTTTAAATCTTGCCAGCTTCCAGTCGGTGGGAGGCCCGTGACTATTACGCGATAGTCAGAACGGCGGGAAGGACCGCCACCGCCTCGGCTTCCACCCCGGCGAAAAGAGTTGAAGCCACCCCCACGAGGAAATTCAACGCGGAGAGCATATCCATCAAAGTTGTAGCCATCGCGACCGCGAACAGCATCAGCAGCGTCCCTAAAGCGTAATTATTAGCCAGGAGGACATACCGATCATCCTCGAATTCAATGAAAGCAAAAGGAGGCCCACGTCGACATTTCAAGTCAATGTCGGTGATAGGCCCGTATTTTATGAATAAAGATTCTAAGTCTCTGGTCTTAACATCTGGGGGCAAGTTCCCAACGTAAATCTTGCAGTCTTGTCTCATCGTAGCAGATCGACGCAACCGAAACAAACGTGGCGAGTGTGATGCGACAAAACAAGCCGTCTGATGTTGCCCCGGTTTGACTTTGCAGAAAGCTTGTCGAATCTGACAAGTAAACCTGCTATATGAGTTCTCAAACTGTGAGTGGCTTTTCTTGGATGCTTTTAAATCCCCTGAAACACAATAAACTACGGTCTCGTGTTTTTTCACATTCTGTGTCTCAGGATGCTGAAAATGAGGTAATAAGTGGACTTCTGCCGATTGTATGCCTAGTAGATCCGCGGGTCAGAAGCCAAGCTAAGTACAAAAAAGGGCTTCTGGAAAGACCGTTAGCGAGTTGGTAAACGAACGAGGACCACAGCCAAAGGCCAAACAATAAAGTGAGTTGGCGAACGAGGGTGAAGCTCGTAGTAGTGGCGATGCAAGTAAGAGCGCAGGATCAAGCAGATTAATCACACCCTTATAGCAAGCGAGCCAACCGCGACCTGGCGTACTCGGTGGGGTAATGAGTCTCTGGCGAACTCGTGATTTGGTTAGTTTTAGAGTCGGCTGCGCCGGCGTCACCAAGGGCCAAAAGGGCAGCGTAGGCACGTGCTTATTGATTAGCTTCGGCGTCCGTTAATTCTCACGCTCCCCTCCCAACGCCACTTTTTGCTCTCTCACGCAGCAGTGCGCATGCCATGTCTGCCTCAACGCTCTCACTGCCTACATGACACGCCTTTGCCCTTGTTTTTTTTTCTCTTTTTGCCTTTTAGTGACAATTATGTTGAATTCTGTTAGCAGACGTACTCGCTGGCTCAAGCACGTAGGGAAAAAGAAAAAGTAATACGAAGAATCAGCGAAGAGGTGGCGTAAGTGTCGTCGTCGGGCACATCATCTTCGAGTTGGTCGGACAGCTTTACTGACGAATCTGACTCCGCAACTTCGAGTACGAACACTTCTACGTTGGAGTACCCCATGCGTCTACGTACGAAGGCGATCATTAAATGCCAGGAGCAGGGGAGAAGGAGCCAAGCGCACGTGAAAGTCTACGCAAGTGGGAATTTACGCTCGCAAACGCCGAGCTTCCATTTGAACGATCTTTTAAAGACTTTGACACCTTGGTTGCCGGATCTCCCAGCCGGCACGCGAACTCTGTTGGGTGGGCAAACTTCTCTACACCGATAACGGCAATGGGCAGTGGTGAGACTTGTAGCTCAGCTGAACGGCCATTTGCGTACTCTCTCTCTGCGTTGTCCAGTAGAAGAAGTAGTTACATGCCTAGCAATTTATTGTCTTCCAATTCATAGGAAGACTAATCGTGAGTTCTGGTCTATCTTAGGTAGAATTGTGGAGCCAATTTTAGCTAAAGTTTTCAGTGTTGGTATATACTGCGGAGTGGAGAAGCCTTCGGACGTGCAGGCGTTCTGCAAACCACTGGTCGACGATTTATCGTCATTGAATAGTGATGGTTTGCATGTCGATGCGATTGACAAAACTCGGCTTCTCCGTGTGGCTTCCGTCATATGTGATGTTGCAGCTAGGGCTTTCATTAAACAGATTAAGAATGTGAATTTCTACTATGGCTGCGAGAGATGTTGCGTTAAGTGGGGATATGTAGATAAGATAGTTTATAATAGTGTCTTTGGACGTACTGGGGCAAATGAGGATTTTTCAACGGCCTATGACTGCCACCGCACAGGTGTGTAGGCATTGCTGGCATGCAATGTAGGAATGGTGCACCACAGCGAATAAGATGTGTGTTACTGTGAGCATACGTAAATGAATTCAGAAACACTACACTACCCAAGTCACTCAAAATTGAAATCGAAAATACCAATTCTTTGCTGGTACAGGACGCCCTACTTAGGGTTAGGCGGGACGGCAACGGAGAGGACAAAACTCAGCAAAGCCCTCCTTGAGGCAGTGACACAGACTGCTGTCAAGGGAATGTAATCTTTTGTATGACAGCAGCTGTTTGCTGTCTATGTTTTATTAAGTATTTCTGTTGCAATGGGTACAAAGAGCACTGTGGACGCAAATTTTTCGGCTGAAGATAGTGCTTTGGATGATGGGTCTGCATAGAGTGCTCTGATTCGCTTGCGTGAACGGCAGGAATTACGATATCGTCCGACTCGGTAGAAGAAACGCATTATTTCAAGAAAAGGTTTCGTTTCCTGATCTCCCCATTTATATCCGAAAAGTGAAAGAAAAGCTTTCTAGCAGAAACTGTGAAATAGTATTGTCATCTGTGCGTGCTTCTCAGGCCAACTCTGCCTCCACTAATAATAATATGTTTCTTAGAGCACCACTTGGGCACTGTTAGTCTCCTTTGAACACAGGAAAAAACCGAAACGAAATTCATCCAATACGGCCTCATCTAAAAAGTGCCTATATGTGTATTAGACACTGGGCACATAAACCCTAAGCTACCTGAAAATTGCCAGAAATTACATAAAATTAGCCCAAATTTAAAAGAACTAGGACGTATTATTAGCATGCAGACCAGATCCACGCTAGATCAATGTTACATTTACGCTATTCCTCATTTCTATCCATCATGCTTTGTCAAGTCCGGAGGGGAACATTATTGACTGTGTTTTGAATTACCCATTTCCGACGGAGTGAGTGAAGACGGACAACGCCTAGGAGCATACATGAACACCGCACCAGAATTAACAACCTCAGCGCCTGTCACTTAACGGATGGGCTCACTTGCTGACGCTACATGTTCATCCACGTGTACACTCTTTTATCTGAGTGAAGGTGTCCAACAACAAGGTCAAGGTCAAGGCGCGCAGCTCAATTTCAAAGATAAGTAAAGCTTTGCATTTACTTGGATATTCTTAGGCAACTTATGCATGTTTTTTACTCGAGTCCCTTTTAAAAGTCGCCTTTCAATATAAGGTATAATTTTTTCCAGTTTTGTTTGACGGTCTGGCAAAATAGTCGTATTTTGTAAAAAAAACCTTTGTAGTGACTTGAATTTTTCTAGTTTTCGTAGTAAAATAACAGTAGTACTTGGTATTCAGTGCGTTTTTCTGTACGTTAGCAACGTTTTACTCCTTTTACTGTAAAGAAAAACTTATCTTGTCTGTAATGCCCAGCAGAGCACGTGCTAAAAGGCGAAAGCTTGCTGCCTCCACACTGTCTCCGGTTGCTAGAATCGCCACCGAAAACATAGCAGTTGCCAGCATATGTTCTTCGCCTTCTGCAGATAAGGTTAACTCACAAATCAATTTTGTACATGTAGAAATTCTTGACCCTTCAATCGTCCAAGAATACGCCTCTGCTAGTCGTAGCAGGCCATCAGCCGACGAAATACATGATTTGGTGATATATGGCGACATAAACAGTACTTCTGAAAAAGTAATTGAACAAGCTTTTAAACTTATTGGGGTAATAAGTTCTGAAACTGAGGAGAGAATTAAACACAAGCATAATTTCGTACTGCGAAACATTCCGAGCCACTTATCTGCTATGGAGGGAGCGCATTTGTTCCTAAAAAGTTGGGGCTTGAGTTTCAGTGTCGCACAAGCTAAACGACTGCGCTCGCTTAGCCGTAATGCGCCGATCCTAGTTACCCTTTTCTCCTTGATAGAAGTCGATTTTATCTTGTCAAGGAGGGAGATAACTAGAGAATTCTGCCGTAAATGGCGCTGCTCCGTTTTGCCATACCTCACGCCGCTGCAGCGAAGACTGAATGAATTAAAATCGGCAAAAACCAACACCAGGATAATGACACCTATTGTCAGTTTGAATAAGTCCTTAACAACACTATCTGCGGCCTCTGCACGTCACGACATAGTCAATACCGTAGGAGATTCGACTACTATTGATGCTGAGAGCTTTAGAAGCAACAACACGCCTGGTATGTAAACGCCCCTAACGACTCCTACAGCAACCCCTAGTAAGCTTAAGCAAAGCCAAATCCAGTTCCTGTCTCAGCCACTCGGACACCCGATAAATCCAGCACCATTATAAAATCTTTTCCTCCACAATCGGCTATCAGTGCCTCAAATACCCCGACTCAAAATGTAGCGTGTTCCCAACTGCCCTCCAGTCCTCATATCGAGGCAGTTAGGCCGAATATGCCGATTTTTCCGCCGTCTTATAGAACTCTTGCTCCAATGGAGGCAATGAGTCCCTCACCCCCTAACTTGTTTCAACCACAGCCGTTTTACCAGTGTATTCCTTATGCTAGTGTCCATACTGAATCAGTTAACTCGTCCGGTCCTCAGTTTCGTTCCGGCGGGAATGTGTTGCAGTATCTGGCCCGCGGATTTCCAGGCGAAAATGAGTTAGCTATCAATGGTTACCAGTCTACCTGCCCGTCATTTCCTCCCCCAAATCCTACCCATTTTTATCCACGTAAGAATTTTTTGATGCCACAAAATTTTTTGCAGAACCGGATGGTTACATCCGGACAGTGTGCTCCGTGGGCAGACCAGCACTGGACGATGTAGTTCACGTTTCTCAGAAACATACAGCCTTTCCCTTCAAACTTTCGGTTTTAAATGCCAGATCCTTGCTTAATAAGATGCCTTTGCTTCAGACTTTGGTCATCGTCCATTGTCCGGATATTGATTTAGTAACTGAGACATGGGCATCAGCCTCCGTAGCTGACTCCGAACTCTATCTTCTAGGCTATACTTGCATTCGAAATGATCGCCAAGATAGTCGTGGTGGGGATAGTTGCGTCTACGTTAAGCAAACGCTTACATTTTCGCCGTTTGACCTCCCGCACTTTTCCGACTTTCCCACCCGAGGATCAAGCATACTTGACCTAATTTTTTGTAGAGGCTGCATGCCATCGTAAGTGTCATCCCTAGGCCCACGCGGGGGCTCAGACCATGACATAGTTGTTTCAACGTTGGAATTCGAGTCTGACAAAACGTCTTCCCCAAAGTATAACTTTTTCCGCCATTTCCGATCAACTCGCATAACCGAATTATTAACACACCTTAATTCCTACGACTGGAGTGATTTCTTCCCTAGTTCCTTTTCGTTTTGCCTTTTCGTTA